TACTTTTTATGTACGAAATCTGTGCTTTTATTTTCAATCTCAAATCTGAATGCATAATTTTCTTCAGTTACGTATTTAATACGATTATTTGCATAATATTGTTCCATTATGCACTCTACGCACTCCGCTTTTGATTTCATATCTGTATCGATACTAGCAATTAATTTCGAAATTTCACGTACAGATTCATACGCTTCAAATGATATGTAACCTTTCTGAGTATTGATCACTACGCCTTCACGCTTAATAAAATCATTTCCGAGTATGCAAAATTCTTGTGGTGCAGTACTTAATAACCAAAAGTCCTGCTTGAATTTATGTTGACCCATAATAATTTCACATTCGGTGTAGCACGGTCTACTTTCTTTCACATCATTACTTATGGTGGTAAATCTTAGCTGCTGCCCTTCCGGTGCTTCAATACGTTGCAGTCTAAGATCTAACATCATAGGATAGCTCATTATGCTAGTACTTGCACCAGTATCTATAAGAGCTTCTATTTCCTGTCCGTTTATAATCACGCTTACCTTCGCTGGTTTGCATGATGCCGGTCCACCGTGTACATTGGCACTCAGCTCACTACGTTTCAGCGGTACGGTCCCACTCAGTGACACAATACGGTCTACAGGAGGCTTTCTGTTTACGCGGCCATACGGACCTCCGTTTACGTATGGCGACAGTCTTTTCCCTCTTCTGACACCCAGAAGTTATCGTTCTGATTTCCCTTTTCTACTTCATCTTCATACGCTCGCTGTAGTTCTCGCTTCTTATCTTCAGGACATTTTGGCAATATAGATTCTAAATCTCTACGACTCTTAATGAAAGGACACATACGAAACCCATGCCGATAATCGAAGCACTTAGGACAAAAGTACAATCCATTATTTAGTCTGTACGATGAGAAATCTATCTCATTACGACTGAACTTCCACTGCGTGATTGGTAAATCACGCTGTCCAGGGCTACGAGAACGAGAAAATCTACGATTATCACTACGTTCTCTGTTACGATTTACATCACGGTCCCGACTTCCGCTACGATCACGGGAGAAATCTCGGCGAAATCGGTCACCTCGATCGCGACTACCACTACGTCCTCGCTCATCCCGGTTCCATCTTTCATTTCTGCCACGATTCTCATACGTACGTGAATCGCGATTGCCATAACGAAAATCATTACGAGTATCACGGTTACTATTATAACGATTATCAGTACGGATATCCCGATTTGCATACGTATTCCTGCTATTATTACTATATCGGTTATTACTGTACTGATTGCTACGGAAATCATTACGATCGCGAGATCCACTACGTTCCCGAAAAGATCTAAATTTGTCAAAAGATCTACTTCGGTCTCGTCTGTATTCATACGCATTAACTGCTTGTGCCGTACTTACTTGCATAGTTTCTTTCGTTTCCGACTGGTCAATACGTGCCAGGTTACTTAAAACCCTACGCATTTCCGGAATTGTGTTCACTTTCGCTACTGCTAGGAGCTTACGATACTCGACATTGCTGTCAATAGCTCTACGTATTTCAGCAATCTTATCCTCTTCCGCCATATTCGGATTAATTTCCTGCATTAGGTCTAACATCTCATCAAAAAATTCCTCTACATTTTCACCAGGCTTTAAGGTTTTCTGTGCCAGCTCCATACGCTTTACTTGCTTATAATCTTCCGGCAGATATCGCACACACATAATTTCTTTCCACTCTGCATACGATTTTCTGCTGTTTGTCGACCACATACTTTCAAAGAATTTGCGCGGACCTTCTTCTAAATACGTAGGCAACATACTGATACGCTTTGCTGATGACCAGTTCAAATTATCTGCTACGCGGTCAAACTGCTGAAAGAATGCTTTAATACTGTAATTCGACTTGTTTTTAAATTTTTCAATCGTATGATCTTTCGTTACGTTTCTGCTATTATTATTAATAACATACGAATTCAATGCCGAAATTAACGAATTGATATCTGTACTTGTTACGTTTTGCGAACTTGCAATATTTCTGTCAGTTTGGTTACGTTCAGTATTAACCGGTTCATACTTAATCTCATTATCAGTTGTCTTCACATCAACTTCAGTTTCTTCGTCTTCTACGTTAATAGTTCTATTCCTCAAATGCATATTTTCTTGTCGCAACTCATTCATACGATTTCGTAGTTCATTAACGTTTTCCTCAATTTCCGCATCTTTAAACTTTAACAATTTCGATACAACTTCTAGATTTTCCGCTGATAAGTTGCTTTTCAAATAATTCACTGTACGATCAATTTCTGACTGTGTGACTTTCTCTGTGCGCTCACTTTCCGAGACATTCTCTACATTCTCTATCTTTTTACCTCTACGCCAATAATCCAATTCCTTAATGTCTGCAGTTGTTTTTAGATCTTCATACGAAATTCCAGTCTGAATACAGTAATTGGCAATATGCTCTACAGCTTCATTATTATTCATCGTTACTTTTAATACTGCATTAATTCTACTGGCAATTTCGTTAACTTTCACCCGTTTCACTTGAGTCAACAACTCTACGATCTGTCTGCGCTCTGCTTCCAGTTCCTCATCTTTTGTTCTATCAGCGCTGCCTCGCGCTGTCGGTTCAGTGGTCGACATGCCGACACACGCTTATCAAACTTTACGATCTTAAGCTTACATGCAAATTTTTGCACGTCTAGGCACGTTTCGGAAAATCCTCACGAGAAACGAAAATTCTGCCCTTCTACAAAACTTTCATAAAATACAGCAGTTCTCAAAATTTTCAGATGGATTTCATACGAATTCAAACCAGAAATTTTCATAAACTTCATACGATTGCATCAGAAGTAAATCATACGAGTATGGATACACAGGATACTGTACTACGTTGAAATATCAGTTTTCAACCCAAGTAAAATGATTCTTCAATACGTAGGTTTTCACAAATGAAATCTGCTTCAAATCCTTACGATCTTTATGATAATGATTCAGGGATATTAGTGCTTACCCTTACGTTCCTGTTCGCGTTGCTTCCAACGTTTGTAGTCTGCCCACGAGATCCTGTACGCTACGGCTTCTGATCCAGAGTACTGCTGATGATCTGCTTCTACACTTCGGTCTGGGACACCACTGCACATACGCTTTGCACTACGATGCTGCACCAAAGTCCAGTCCGTCTCTACGTTGGGTTCCGAAGGAGGTTCTTTGCGATCCTTTGATACAGGAAGCGCCATACAACGGAAGGCTGACGGTGAGCTCCCGTTTACTGTGGGTTGGCTACACGCCGCGCCACGCCGCTAAACAGACCGATGTTGGTGGTCTAATATTACGCAACTGCGAAACCCACAAACAGGAAGAGATCTTACTGTTCCTCTGGATGAAGGGAAATGTGCAGAAGATAAAACGAGAGGTCACGACGAACGATCGATCGAGAGGTTGCCCATGGACAAATTTATTAGAATTCAGAAAGTTACTCCATCACCGACTGATCAGCGTCCAATTTCCCATTTCACATCACACCGTTAAACACCGTTAACACACTAGCCAGCTGTGACTCATCAATCCACACAGACTGACCAATCAAATAAAGTTCTAATTATTTGAATTTAACCACAGTCGCTATAATATGCGCGCTGGCCGTATATACTCAAGCCGCAAGCAAACTATGGTGTCCGTCGGTCACCGCCACCTAATGCACATATGCGCGGGTTCACTATCAAACGCACATATGCGCGCTGGCCGTATATACTCAAGCCGCAAGCAAACTATGGTGTCCGTCGGTCACCGCCACCTAATGCACATATGCGCGGGTTCACTATCAAACGCACATATGTGCGCAGGCCGTATATACTCAAGCCGCAAGCAAACTATGGTGTCCGTCGGTCACCGCCACCTAATGCACATATGCGCGGGTTCACTATCAAACGCACATATGTGCGCAGGCCGTATACTCAAGCCGCAGCAAACTATGGTGTCCGTCGGTCACCACCACATAAGGCACACATGGTCCCCTATTGTCAGATACATACAGAGATGCGCGCTGTCCGAACATGTCCAGGCCGCATCTAAATTTGTCTTTATTGGTCACCATCTCTTTTGATAAAATGTCCAATGGTACGGTAGCCATATACAAGTGCTGCGCTTAATTAAATTTTCAGGGATATGTTTCTTTGGTACCTCAATTTTGGCATTTCGCGTCACGATCTCAATCTTACGATCTAGCAGATAAGATTATATTGCGTTGCCCGAAAGTACGGAAAAAGTCACAGCTGCTCGATGTGACAAGCGCAATACCGGCATGGGTATCTGCGTCCTTACCTGACAGCAACTTCATGGGGTGGCTACAGTAGTCATTATTCTAACCTGCAAGTATTTCCAAAACCATATTTTACCACCAGCCCGAGTTGCAACAATAAAATTTTTGATATATGCCGGGAAAGTTATCGCTGTTAACTTCAATAGGGAGCAAGTAAAAAAATTAGGCTCGTGCACAGATACAACGTTGTTCGATTCAAGTTTTGTACTGACATGCTGCGTAATATGTTCATGGGACAAATCGCAACAAGGAGGTCAGCCCGTTCCGGTTTTGAAACGAAGAAGGTAGAATCTACACCAGATAAATTAAGAAATTGATTTTGGGAATTGATCACAATAAATACCTGTGTCGAAATACAAGAGGCGGTTCTTTGACCATATCAGGAAATGCACTCTTCGTTTTTTGTGAAAACTGCGCGATTGTTAATTCTTTGACAAATTATTAACTTTGAAGAAGGCAGCTTTAAATGGTTCATTCCGGAAAAAAACCGTGATGCGAGCACGCTACGCTTCGGTCATGCAGTGCCCGCAAAAAGCGAGTGCACTTTCCTAGTATATTTTCTGTCTTATCTTGGGTTAAAAGGTAACGTATTCAAAACAGCAGTAGCATGACCTTTAAAAGTAGCAGGATTAAAGCATTAGAACGCGGTTATCCAGTGAAGTCCCGCATTGTGAGACTCATTAAAGATCTGTTGGGTAGGAATGCAGGGCCAGCCGATCAAACCCGGCGAGCCGTGGGGATTGCCGTTGCAGCACAAGCTTCTACCGGAGTACATGCGCCGACTGGGCTACTCCACCCACATGATCGGCAAGGCAAGCCACGCTTCCTACTTCAGTTCCGCACACCGTGACGTTCTGTGCATGCGAAGACGGACATTGTTTGATGCGGTTTGAATTGCGTTGCAGTGGCATCTGGGAGATCATCGGACGGCGTACCTGCCACGTAATACGCGCCTTCATTTTTATCATCCAGGATTTCTTATCCTCATGCCATGCCTCATCTGCAGATAAACGCGGATTCGATACCTTTTGGGGAACGCCCGGCGGCGCGCTCGACTACTACTCCTACACGATGATCGAGGTGGACATTATGATTTGGTGGCTAGATTTTCGGAAAATATTATTGCTATTTTAGGGATACAATATGTACAACGGATCGGATGTGCTGCGCCTGAACGAGAGCACTTACGTCACCGACCTTTTCGCCCACTGGGCGCAGGCGCTCATCCAGGAGCGAGCGGCCGCCCAAAAGGTCACCAGATTAGCCTCATTACATGCATTTTGTATCCTTCTTTTTTCTTGTAAATTTTCGTAATTTGTTTATTTGTTTAATTTTGTTTTTGAAACTTTCTTTTTTCAAATTAGACTTTTATTTTAACATTTTCGTTTGGTTTTATTTCGTGCATTCTATATACAGTATTTTTTTAATTTATTTTAACTTTATTTTAAATTTATTTATTTTCAGTTGCACAATTTCACTGCGGTTTAACGTTCACGTTAATTATTGCACTTTGCAGCCCTTCTTTCTGTACTTCGCCCCAAACGGCCCCCGCGGCAGCCTTAACCGCACCGACACACTGCAGACGGCGCCCAAGTACCTGAACCGGCCTTCCGTCCAGGCCATCGCCCATCCGGAGCGCCGCAAATACGCAGGTGGGTCCGTGTCAAATGACGGTACATGTATATATGCTTTAAACAGCAAATTTCTATGCAAATACAACGGGGAAACGCGATTTGTGTAATGGGTACGATCCGCGATCAGGATAGCACAGAGGAAGTGTTTCTTTTGTACGAGTAAATGCTGTTTTGTTCTGGTGCATAGTATGCACTCGTACCAGGATACTTATTAAACGTTCGTACGGTGTTTATTCCAAAAATGCGCTTTTCCTCCTGTAGCGATGATGCAGGCGGTGGATGACGCCGTCGGCACCATCCACGACGCCATCAGCGACGCTGGGATCCTTCACAACACCATCGTATGGTTCCTCTCCGATAATGGCGGCCCGCTGCCACAACCCGGCACTTTCAGTATCGTCGCGTATGTAATTTATTTATTTTTAATTTCATCTAACTTAATTTCACGTTATGTACATATAAATTATTAATTTATATGTTTATACGAATTATTAATTTATCAGCGCAATTTTGTTATAACTGTTTCCGCTTTTTTTCCTTTAACGAAAACTTTTACTAAATAATAAATTTCTAAGCGAAATGACTGCGCGCGAGAGTTTTTTGCTCGCGCAAATTCAAGTAGCTCCGCAAGCGAGTTAAAGAAATCATCGATTTGTTAACTAGCAGTACAGGCATATGCTATAAGTATTAAGGGAAATGGCCCGGTACATAGCGTCGAAAATGGGATACATACATTAAAACTTTCGCTTTCGCGCACTCTGAATCACTTTTTTTTTAATACTTTATGTCATTCTAAAGCTGAATGATTTGTATACATTGTTCTGAAAACCGTTTGCGCGCGCAACATCCGGTTGCCGAGATATAGCGTACTAAAATGGGAGAAATGGGAGCACGCGCACTCCCATTATTGACGCTATGTACCGGGCCATTGTCCTTAATCAAGGCCAAATAATAATCATCTACTGTTCGAATAATTTCTTGAATACATATCGGTACTGTGTATAAGCCGGCATAGTTTCTTTTTCAATGAGGCATAATTAAGGTACTAAAAGGATACTCTTAAAGCATCTCAAATGGAATTCCTTACTCAGCGCTTCCAGGCAGCAAACGACTGTTCAGGCTCGAAAAAGAAAGAAAGGTCACGAAGCAGCTGTGATTACGATTACCAGAATCGAGAAGCACCAGTTTACTTTGCGGCCAGATCGCAGGCCTAATTTATTAGAGCGACATCCCGTACGAACGGAAGAAGAAACAAAACTAACAACAGGTTTTAGAAACAGAATAGGCAGCTTCCGATGTCTAGTCATACTATATATGCTCATGGCAAGCTGGTCAGGACAGATAGCCACACATGAATCGACATGATGAACCGCTAAAACAACATTCATTCGTTTTACCTACCGCAGGCTACCGGTATTCGTAACGGTTACAATTGCAAATTTTATACTCTCGCGCGTAGACCTGACCTTTAATAAATTATTTTCTGTAGATTGTACATTTTGTAATAAATCTGATTATTTATTACGGTATATTTGCCTTATTGGGTTCAAACTGCTTCCTCATCTAAATTTTGTTTAGTTATCTAGTTTGTTTGAAAAGCTCTTAAAGGTCATCGTATTGTTTTCACAGGCCGGCGAGTAACTGGCCCCTGCGCGGCGTCAAGCAGACACTGTTCGAGGGCGGCGTCCGCGTGGCGGCCTTCGTGTGGGGCGGCCCATACAATGCGGTGGCCGGCGGGAGCCTGTACGATCACCCGATGCACCTGACGGACCTCCTGCCCACGCTGGTGGCATCCACCCACGTTCCGGAACTCGCCGACGAGCACCACGATAACTACATATTAGCCAACACATCCACGCACGGGTATAACCATTGGGACTACATTTTGACGGGCCGCGCAGGGCCCCGGCACGTGACGCCGCTGGACATCAACCACAACGAGAGCCGCTTCGGCCTCATCGCGGGGCGGTACAAGGTGGTCACCGGAAATTACTCCAACGGCTCGCGGGAGTCGAATAAATGGTTGGAGCGTTTTTTTCGCTCGTCTGGCTCGTGTGTGGTCAATTTCGTTGTTTAGGATCCGGCCGTTTGGGACCAGCGACGCGGACCCGCAGCAAATAGAGACACGGGAACGCGTGCACTGCCACCACCCCGAGGGGCGGGAGCAGGCGCCCTGCAGTCCGGAAAAAGAGGTGTGCCTCTTCGATCTGCTGGACGATCCATGTGAGACGAATAACCTGGCGGGCGCCCGCCCGGAAGTCCTGGAGGAGCTCATGGAGCACGTCCGCCGCTGGAACGCCAGCTATCATCCGGTCATCTGGTTGGACGTCGACCCGGGCTCCGACCCGGCGCTGCACGGCGGAGTGTGGCGACCGTGGAAAGATTAAACGCATACTTAATTTGCTGCCCTGTACTCTGTATATTTATTGTGGAATCAGTAATACGATCTAGATACGTAAATAAATAGAAGTTACGCTGAATATTTTTTATTATCGATAAATATCCAATATAAAGAAAACGATCGCGATAAATAAAACGCGATAAATAAATCTCGGCAGTCGAATTAATCAATAGAGTAGGGGAGCCTGTACAAAAACACTTTAATCAGACTACTGAATCGGTTCTGTATACGAGTATCTGCTACTGCAGTTAAATTATATGTATTCATACTTCGTGTATTTGCTTCGTCGCAAAAGAACATGTTACCAAATTCGTGTACATGCACGAAAACGTTTACTTTCGCGCACTCCCAAACACATTTTTGTTTTGGTTTATGACATTCTTTAGGCGGACGATTTGTTCACAGTGACGTGAAAACCGCTTGTGCGCGCAACATCCGGTTCGGGAGTTATGGCTATTAGAAAACTCCAAAAAGTTTAAATGCATTCAGGTGTACCAAAAGTCTCATTATGGATGGATCTCCTTCAAATTTTGCACATAAATGCACATAACCATGAAGATCGCTTTTACACCGATCCAGAGCTTCATGATTTTTTTCAAATTTTAAACGAATTTTAAAATTTTTGAAATTCATTTTAAAATTTAAAAAACATGCTAGAACAGTGGATCGGTGCAAAAACGATCTCCATGGCCATGTGCATTTACGTGCAAAATTTGAAGGAGATCGCTCCATAATGAGACTTTTGGTACACCTGAATGCATTTAAACTTTTGGATTTTCCAACAGCCATAACTCCCGAACCGGATGTTGCGCGCACAAACGGTTTTCATGCCCGTGTATACAAATCATCTGGATACAGAATGTCATAAAACAAGAAAAAAAGCGTTTGAGAGAGCGCGAAAGTGAAAGATTTCGTGCATGTACACGACTTTGGTACCATGTACCGGGCCACTTCCCTTAACTTTCGCGGGTATTGTGGTTTCTTGAAATGTTTTTTAGGTTTTCTTAGGTATCTTAAACTTCTTAAATTATTGTTTGGTTATTCTTAAATTTCTTAGGTTTTCTAGGTTTTTCTCATCGTTGTTGGGATTTGTACTTTCTTGGCTTCCTTAATTTTTTCTTAGTTAATTTCTTTTGGGTTCCTGAATTTTTTCCTGGTTTTCCTAATTTTCCTAATTTTCCTGACTAGTTATTAAAGCAATGTTCAAACTACAACATATCGTACAAGACCGTTGTGTACTTTGTATGATATCGTGATTGGTGGGTCTCGACAGAGCTCTGTTAAAATAATATCCAGAGCATACATTGCAAATGCATCCAAATACATCTGAAATGTTTCCAGAAACTAAAAGTTTCTTCAAAATTTCGATCGGCGCATTCATACTTAGAAGAAGTTGTCTGTCAGATATTGTACATATTTCGGTGGAATTCATACTCTAGAGACAAATGTTTGTATTTCGCATGTATTTTGCTGTACGCGACCAGACGTCTTGCGTCAAAATGTCGCAAAGTTGAAATGTCTCACTGCAAATTGTCCCAAACCGAAGCGTCCCAGCGTCAAAATGTCCCGCGGCGAAATGTCACACTCCCAATTTGTCCGCGTGCGACCTAGTTGCAACTTGCAAAAGGAGATTAATTTATTCGGAATAATAACAACACCATAAGCTGTGCACAGTTATTGTTATTGCTGGTCGCAATACGAACAGATATTCTGCACGAGGTGGCACAGTTAAAAGGGAAGCCAGCAATGTACAGCACCGTACAAGCATTGTCTACAAAAAGCCCTCTACGGGCGGTAACAAAGATTAAGAACGGCGCCACCTGGGGAAAACGTGCTACAGATAATATAAAATTTATTACTGGAACTCGTACGGTATACGCTAATTCTTTGGCGGGTTGTACCACTTGTAGGTCATCAACGACATACAATAGAATGTGATCGGCATCCATCACACGTTGATAACGGTCTTGAAGTGTACCTAAACGGCTGCCCTCATTGGATTTATGCCGATTGGACAAGCCACGTACTCGGAGCGGCGGACATGGGTGCGCAGCCAGCAGCCGACCCATGCCTTCCGGGATTTGGCCTCCTCCTTTATATGCTGATGGTCAGCGTGCTGGCGCCGAAAGGATCGGCAGCGGGGGCACCCGACGTGTTGAAAAATTGAAGGTGGCGCTGTCGTTGGTTAGACCGGGGATGTGCACGCCGAGGAGAGAGGGATAGGGCGCCATCACGAAGTCGCCGTCGTACTTGAAGATGAAGTTGGGCGCGCGCCGGTGTCTGGCTGCAGTCGACGCTCGCTCCCGCTGCACGTCATGGAGAAGCTCCACCGCGGTGCAGACACATTGCGCAGAGGCGGGACGTTCACAGAATTCGCGGGCGCGCAGCTTCTGCTGTAGGTATTGCGTGTGCAGAAGGCAAAGGTCACCGTCGCCATGACGGGGCAGGAGGCACTTTTCAACGTACAAAGATAAATTATTATTGATGGATGGTGAGCAGCATTTTAATTTATTCTTCCGGTCGTGAACAATAATTTTAAAACATTCGGTAGTAATGCTTAAAATATAGTATTAGTATAGTATTTAATACAATAGCCAAAACGTTATAAATAAACGTTATAAATAAACGCCGGTCTTCGCTGCACACTGCACAGTCTAATCCGTCGCTGGGAGACTGGCCAAATTGACCAGTCCTTTGACATCAGTTCTGGTTGATAATACAGTAAACATTGTAGTACGTTGTGCGTAATACGCTGGTCAAGCTGGTAAGTAATACTCGTATATAGCTGAAACTTCAGCTTTAAAACAGCAACCCATGTTACCCAGGTCTTTCCGGCTGACAGATGAAGGGAAGTGGGCCGGTACATGGTACCAAATTCGTGTACATGCACGAAAACTTTCACTTACGCGCACTCCCAAACACATTTTTGTTTCGGTTTATGACATTCTGAAGCCAGAAGATTTGTATACACGGGCGAGAAAACCGTTTGTGCGCGAAACATCCGGTTGGGAGTTACGGCTGTTAGAAAATTCCAAAAAGTTTGAATGCATTCAGGTGTACCAAAAGTCTCTGACTCACCGATCTGACTCAAATTTTGCACGTAAATGCACATAACCACGAAGAACGTTTTTACACCCATCCACTGTTCTAACATGTTTTTCAAATTTTAAAATGAATTTCAAAAATTTTAAATTTCATTTTAAAATTTTAAAAAAATCATGGAAATCTAAGTCGGTGTAAAAAACGATCTTCATGGACATGTGCATTTACGTGCAAAATTTGAGTCAGATCGGTCCATAATGAGACTTTTGGTACACTTGAATGCGTTTAATTTAATTACTTTTGGAATTTTCTAACCGCCATAACTTCCGAACCGGATGTTGCGCGCACAAACGGTTTTCACAACACTGTATACAAACCTTCTGGCTACGGAATGTCATAAACCGCAACAAAAATGTGTTTGGGAGTGCGCGAAAGTAGTTTTCGTGCATGTGCACGAATTTGGCACCATGTACCGGGCCACTTCCCTGAAGTCTGCAACTGTATTAATTACAGCTCATTTGGAAATTTTTATATAATGTGCAGAAATGCGGTTCACAGAAAACACGTATTTATCTGCCGAAGGGTCTTCGAAACGGGATGCGGCGATAGAAGAGCATCGACAGAATGCCGGCAAGCAAGCGCCGTGTG